TATTACTCCCATGTGAGAGAGGAGAAAACAGATATTAAGAGGTTATATCATTTGCCTGTTAAATCAGTTGCAGAGCTGAAGCCTTATAGCCTTACTTTCTACTCATCACATGTTGACCCTAGGTTCTTTCTAGTCTCAGGAATTAGAATATTTATTTCTATAAAGAGCAGGTACTCAAGGAAGCAACATAGGAAGAAATGTGTTTTCCTACAGCTAGTGGTTCCCCAAAACTGGTCTGTGGATCCGTTCCCACCTGTGGCAAAATGTCTTTATGTTAGAATGAGAGAAAGACAATGTAGTAAGGTTTTCCTAAAGCTAAATTTATTCAAATGTTAGAGTCCCTGAACTGAGGCTGTATCTTTCCTTCATTTCTAGTGTAAAAATGTCCTAACTTTATGAAATGATGGTAATATTAAATTATAAAATATGGAATAACCCTATATTGGATGTTTTTTTTGGGGAATGTATTGGTTTATTTATTCATTCAACAAATATTTATTAAGTGTTGACTATTTGTTAGGCGTGGTTCTGGGCACTGAACAATAGTAAACAAGCTGACAAAAATCCTTGCCCTCCTGGAGGGCATTCTAGGGTGGGAGATGGATGATAAACAATAAATAAGCAATTAACCTCTCAAGGTTCTGGTTCCTCATCTGTAAAATGATAACAAGAGCCCCTATTTCATAGGTTTATTTGTAAGAGTTAAATAAGTTAATAAGGCAGAGTGCTTAGGAGTGTATGGTGCCTTTGAGTATAACTGGGGAGGGAGATTGAGCGAGACTGAGCACGTGGGGAGGGGATGGGTTGCAATTTTAAAGTAGAGTGGTTCCTGTAGGCCTCATTGAGAAAGTGCCATTTGAGCAGATGAAGGAGCTGAGGGAGTCGGCCATTTGGACATTCTTGAGTTGAACATATGACTAGCTGAGGCCAAAAGGACAGAGGGAAAAATAAATGTGAGCCAAGTAGCTTTGGAAAACTCCATCAACAGAGAATCTAAAGATACAAACTAGTCATAAAATCATAGGGTGCAGATGTTGCTAGAACTTAGAACTTGACCAGATTGTGTGAAGTAATCTTAACATAAAATAGAAATATGCCTGAAGATTGTGATCTTGGAAAAAGGTTAAAAGCCTCTGTGAAGCAACTAGAAGGACGTGCAGCTATGACATACAGCTATCTACTGGGGCTTTGGGGCGGGGAGGGGGAAAGCCTTTGTGAATTCTTTGTGCCAGTGCAAGAGTTACTATATAAGCTTTTAGCTAGCAGAGAAACAGAATGGGAAAAATAACCAGTGTATACTGAGCTTCTTTTGGTGCCTTGAAATCAGCCATGGTGAGTATTTACACCACGGAAATTGACAAGTGCTGCAACTCAGGGCTTTTCTTTCTTTCCGTTTTTTTAGGGAACTGAGGGAGCCAGTTTACCAGCACACCATTGAAAACAGCTCTCCACGGGGATTAATAAAACTCTTAACACCTGTGACAAAGATATTTGCGTATGGCTTTGGTGAGGGGGATTTTTGGGAATAAACGAGTACTCTTTCTATATGCAGGGGACTTCTAATACCCATCTTAGTAAGATTTGCTGTTTTATTCTTTCTCTTGAAATTAAAATTTCATCAAATCCTTATTAGGAAGAATTTCTCTAAAATATGGTTCCTGTTTGACTTCTCTTCATTAAAAGCTAAAAGAAGACAGGAGATAAAATAAACGTGGGACAGGAACCTCCTGCTTTCTAGTAAGCAGAAGTGGTACCGCCTGATAAACTGTATAGAGTTACTGGAACAGAGTCAAAGCCATAGAGAAACCAGACCTGCTCTTTTTTTTGTGAATGACAGTGTTAAAGAAGGTCACCCCTCTTAACTTCTCTACACCCTGTATGTACAAATTGCTTATACTGATACCACCCTCAATGGTAACTCACTTCACACCTCCATTTTCTTTCTTGTTATCGCCAAGATTAAACAGCATGTTTGGGTAATATTCTGCATTTATCTAACCTTTTCCATACAGGCCACACTGACACAACAGAACAGGTTTATGTACCTCACACGTCAGATCCTATCAAGAAACTTGGTAGTGACAGTTTGATAAGGACACCATAGCTTATTGAACATGTTCTAAAAACAACAGCAGCAAGCCACTCATCTCCTCACACTTTTTAATGACCTTGTTCTACGGTGTCCCCATTTTTAGATGCAGCAGAGGCATTGCTGACTGTGTGGCCTCAGAGCATGCGGAGAGCTGAGGACGTGTGACAACGTGCGTTTTGTTATTACATCATTAAAAATTCTAGAGAGATCTACATTTACTTCAATAACCTATTAAGAAAGGAGAGATCTAGGGTTAGGTTTAGTTTTCCCCTTGCCAAAATTTTCAACCAGAGTGAAAAAATGGCTTGCCAGAAAATGAGAAAAAGAAGATTGCCAGGAGATGCTTTTATCTTTTGCTCTCCAGAATATCCAGCGTTGTCATAGATGAACAGTGAACAAGAATGCTAACAGACTTCACTGTTTCAGGATAACCCCCTTAGGGCAAGATGCATAAAAGAAAAATAAACCCAAATAAACACAAAATTAGAATGAACTATAAAGGCTAATGTTTTTACATTTTGTCTTTTTTTTTTTTTGAGGAAGACTGGCCCTGAGCTAACATCTGTTGCCAATCTTCCTCTTTTTGTTTTTTCTCCCCAAAGCCCCAGTACATAGTTGTAGATCCTAGTTGTACGTCCTTTTACTTCTATGTGGGACGCCGCCTCAGCATGATAAGCAGTGAGTAGATCCGTGCCCAGGATCCGAACCCTCGAACTCTGGGCTGCCAAAGTGGAACGCAGGAACATAACCGCTATGCCACCGGGCCAGCCCCCTGTTTTTGTCTTTGAACTAATTTTTTTTTGCAATTCATATGGCCCAAACAGGTTCCTATGACATTTCCAAAGACTTTACTATAAGCACATTTAATACTATATTTAACAGATAATTAAACTATGTTCTTAAGCTTTTAATAGATTGTTATTGCTATTATTCAGTTAAGTTCAAAGTGAATTTTATTATCTTGGTGAAATTCTTCTGGTAAGATTCTAATCTCTGTGGAATTTCACATGTTTCTGCTCCTTGCGATTAAAACAGGATAAGGAGCATTCGACCACTCTGAGGGTTTAATTTTGTCATTCAGTTATCTTTTTAAACCTAAAAATATTCTTCTTCTGGCTTGTGCTCTGGAGATAATACCACACTGGTAAAGGTGGACACATTTGAGGAGGAACGGTAGAGAAACCTATAGGATACTTCAATACAAACAAATCTAGTGGTACATTTCATAATAAGCCATGGAGACTTTGTGAGTTTGGAAAACACACTTTTGCTTTGTCCATATCCATAACATAAGCACTGTTACAGCTTTGCGGTGAGGAGAAGCTGAGCCACACTTCCAGACACTGACTGGTTTTTTGGTGGCTTTGAGTCTGATCACTCTGCATTTGAGTGGGTGGACATTTCCCCAGAACATTCTATCATGTGCCCTCCTCTTTGAAGCTTTCTCCTATTTCCTGAAGCAGAAAAGAAAGAGTTCCTGTTAGTATTGGGAGTCCTTCTGTCTTCTCACCTCAGGTGCTAGATATGACCATAAAGAAAAAATTATGAAGTATTTCAGCCCTACCAAAATGTATAGAGAATAATATGAGGATTGAGTCCCCACCTTCTACCTTAAGAAGTAAAACATTACAAATACAAGCAAAGCCCCCTGTGTATGCCTTCTGCCTCCTCAGAGGTAACCAGCACTTTCATGTTTTTATACTTTTGCTACATACGTGTACATGCATAAACAATGTATAATAGTGTGTTGCATGTTTTAAATTTTTATATAGATGGTTTCCTTTTTTCACATTATTTTTAAGTAAGCTAATACATATAGCTGTGGTTTACTGATCTTCACCACTACAAAGTATTCAATAGTATGGACATACAACAACTTACTTAGCCATTCTTTGGTTGCTGCCTCAATGTATAAATGTACAGGTCTCCTTGAGCAATGTGTGAGAATTTCTTTAGGGTACAGACCTAGCATTAGAATTTTTGGATCACTGGATATGCACATCTTTAACTTTACTAGATATTGCCAATCTCGAAAGACTGAATCACCAGCAGTGAGGCCAGCAATCTGTTTAACAAGCCTACCGGGTTCAAAGTTGCAGACTCACTACTCTGGAAGTGGGGAGGTGGTGGTGGGTAGTATGGCAAGAATTTGCATTTCTAACATGTCTCCAAGAGATGCTGCTGCTGCTGTAGTGTAGTATCTAGGACTACATTTTGAAAACGAGAGCTCTAGAGAAAGCCTATTGGATTACATTTCGAAAGAGAGCTGATGAGACACTATCTAAAAAGATGGGGCTGGTGAGGGTTTATTAGGTAACTGAAAATTCACTTGTGGTATAATTTTAGCATTCAGATTCTAGAAAAAACTAAATATAGGTGATATATGGTAGATAACCAGTATGAGTGATTGGCATCAGAGGCTAAATTCTTCATGAGTTCTCCTGCTGGGAGGGGGCCTCTGCATGCTGCACGTGCTCTCGCCGTTGCTGTGCTGAGAAGGGCAGAGGAGTGGGCAGGTGGCCTGGTGTCAGGCCAGGATGTGCAATGAGCTTGGCTGACATTACTTAGTGTGTTAGTGTCTTGACTACATCCATAAAACCCAGGCGTTGGCCTCGATGCAGGTGTGAACATTCACTAGGGGGTTCCTCAAGATTTAAGTCATGAGGCTCTTGAGTCTTACTGATTTGGCTATTTTTACATATTTATATGCAAAATGAAAAAAATTAATCTTTATATTATATAATTTTTAAAATTATATTCCAAAGTTAGTATTGTGGTAATAGAATGCCAGGGAGTTTTCCCTCAAATATTCTTGCTGCAAGAACTTCTTACAAAACGTCTTGACAATGAAGCTTTCACATATTTTAGGGTAAAAAGACACAAACAGGCTTGCGCAGTCTGCAAATGGTTAACATGTAAACTGGAAGGAAAGTGATTTTATTTCAGATTTAGCAATATAAAAGGTCAATTAGGAAAAAAAGCATGTACCAGTCATTCCACAATTAACATAACAAGATAATTGTTTTTCAAAAGCAGACAACGGGTTCAAAAATACTTCTTTTCACACCCTTAAGTGATGCTGTTGGGAACAATGGCTGTTATAAGGCCATTTATTGCAGGCACTTTTCCAGCTAGTTCTCGTTATCATTACTCTCATTTTATCTTCTTTCTTTTTTCTCTCTCATCAGCTTTTTGCTTTCTTCCCTTCTTCTTTTGTTCACTGGATTCCGTGGATCATAGATTTCAAACGTGTCCGAGTCTTGCATGCTTGCATCTTTCACTTTTCTGCTTTTATCCTCGAACTGAAGTACATGCGACATCCTAAAGAGGGAGAGAGACGGTTCAGGGATTTTGGCACAAGAGCTGAAAGTAGAAATTCTATACTGCATCATCTTTGACATCATGAACCATAAGGGTACAGAACACCAAGAGGGGTTTATTGTTTACTGGTGCTTATACCACATGGAAACCAACTTCTCAGAAAACACTTCAATTTGAAAAACATGTCTGGAGTTTGTTCTGTTGGTTTATATTTCTAGTAGTGTCTCTTTGCCTCAGTCTTCACTTGATGTTCCTTCCCTGATGAGAGGTTAAAAGAGTTCTATCCAGAAGTGTTTCTTAAACTAAACTCAGAGAACATTCTGCCAGCTTCCTTTAAAGGGCATACTCAGCCAGAGTGAGGCAGGTTGCAGAGAAAAACTCCTGACAATAAACCAGCCCTATCTGATTTTTTTGTTTTCAGTAGTTAAATGGGTCAAGAGTAGGGAAAGTGTTAAGAAAATTCTTGTTAAAATGGTGTTATGACTCCCTTTTCTGAGGAGTTGCTGGGTTAAAAAAATTTTTTTTCATACAAAAGGAAACTAAGCTTTTGGGACAGCTCCATGGACTAACTTCCTCCTCTTACTGCTGATTACAACAAATCTAACCAGCCTGTCTTCCCACTTTATCAAATGCTGACTGGTCTTAAGGTATCAACATGTGCTTGAATCATAAGTGGTCATAAGCTAGCTATCCTTAGCAGCAGGGAAATATGTAAGTGATTAGCCTTGCCCCCATTAGGAGGTGTCAGGAATAAATAGCCAAGTCAAAAGACCAGATTTCAGGACAGTTGAATGAATCTGGAAAGAGAAAAGTTCAGTTTTTATATATAAACAAAACTACTATGGCTTTTCCCACTAGTTATTTAAGCAATTTTTAAAATAGGCCTACCCAGCACTTTTCTTTATCACGGCAGATAGGGCTAAATTGCTTATAGGATTAGCACTTCCCAGACACCTGCTGTAACTTTCAGATGAAACCCAAATATTACGTTAATTTCTTTCTCCCTCTATGAGCAGAGATCTGGGCAGTAGGTACTAGCAGAGATCCCCCACCCTCTTTTCCCTGCAGTAGAACAAATGCTGAGTGAGGTTTCTGTATGTGACAAACTCCCATGGATATACTCAGAGTTTAAAGAATCCTAAAAAGATTTTGGGAGGGAAACGTTACAATATTAGTGACACTACAATTACTAAGGGTCAGAGGCTATTGTTCACCAGGGCTGACCATTCCCACTCCCTCCATCCCAGAAGAGCTTACTGGAATGCAGTGAGCACGAGTGATATCATTATATGGATGACCTAGAGTCTACTTTAAGTTACTAAATGAGGCAAATCACCTTCACATTTCTATATTTTATTATTAATAATACATTATTTGCATCAAATTTCATAACTGATCCCAATACATGAACATATATCACACATGAGAACTGTTGACTTTTTATACTTCCTTTACCTTAGTAAACATCCTTATTTAGAAAATGCATCATAAGATTATTGCTTATTTAGATGGATTCCAGAGTCTGATTTTCTCATGCTTTCAATTTCCTACAGTGTTCAAGTATTAGCTTCTGAGAATAAAACAATCCCCAATTCCCAGAAAAAGGCTGATTATCTACAGTCATGGTAACAAGTGACCACTAGAACCAGTTTGAAACACAACCAAACTGGATTTAATCAATTAATGATGACTCACCTGGGCCTAAATGATCATTGACAACTCACCTCAGTAAACACACCTCTGACAGCGAACTCATCAGTGACAGCCACACGCTTTTGGAAGTTGGCCCATCAGTGGCGAACTCAGTCCAGTGAACATGCTTCTGAGAGCCAGCCAGTCACTGACAGTCTCTTCTGAATAATGGGGCTTCTGAGGCTGATGTCAACCCCTAAACAATCCCTGACCCCAGAACTCTACCTAAGATTTGCAACCTGCTCTGCTCAGAGACTGCCTAAAAGTGGAGCTCTTCCTTGCTTAAGTAAGTAATAAACTAAGCCTTTTGTTTCAGATATTGAGAGGTGGTCTTTTTCTTTAACACTTCTTACACTCTATGCTGCATTCCCCACAAAGTGCACTCTTTAGAAATTATAAGTGTATTAGCACTGATAAGGACCAAGTTTAGAAGAGTGGCGAAACCGTCATTCGCCACACATCCTCGGGTGCCCAGACCTCGACGGCGTTTCAGTAAGCGCTTAGCAGCTTTCCAGAGGACTCTTGTGCAGATACCTAAGCTAAAACCAAGAAGTAGCTGGAATCCCTTTAAAATAAATTTTTAAAATAATTATTTCAAAACTCCTATATTGACATCAAAAAACAAAAACCACTATCTTAGTTAGCTTATTAATACCTTTCCATAAACACATTCTTCTATTTTAAAAATTTTCCTGGGGCTGGCCCTGTGGCATAGTGGTTAAATTTGGCACACTCCACTTCAGCGGCCTGGGTTTGCAGGTTTGGATCCCCCACATGGACCTACTCCACTCATCAGCCATGCTGTGGCGGTGGCCCACATACACAAGAGAGAAAGATTGGCACAGATTTTAGCTCAGGGCGAATCTTCCTTAGCCAAAAAAAAAACAAAAACAAAATATTTATCCCTTCTCTGCCCCAAACACGGATGGGTTTTGTGCAATGTTCATTTCTAGTAGGGACTGTCCATGTTTCAAAAAAGGCTTTATCAGAATTTGTCAACTAAAACCATAAAAAGGCTTCTTCCTCCTGTCTATGCCATGAGAAAATCTTGCAACTATTGGATTTAGTTGGCTCTAGTATAAGAAATGAGATCTAGACATGTGAACAACAGCACAAAGTCCACAAAAAGAAACAGATTTCCCTAAAAACCTGAAAAAACAGAAAGCCATAAATTACAGTAGCTGTCTTTTTCAACTGTTTGTTTCATACACCACTGCACTAAACAAGTCCAACATCTTGATTAATAGCAAACCTAAACCCAAAGGAAAGCAGGGGCTATCAGCTTACGAACTACTTCAGCTCTAATATCATAACACTTAGCATGGCTGGTTACTCAGGAATAATATTTAATCTCTAATAGAAATAAAAGCATAATCAGAATGCTTCACCCATTTATCTTTCAACATGCTTTGGTCACTTCATTTTAAATAGCAAACAAAATAGTTATTATGATTTTCAGCATAATAAACTGGTGACCTATGGGCCTCCATAAATCACAGGCTGCATGAATCGTAAGCATGACCACATTGTACAGTCCCTGTGAGACTACACATGCAGACTGATAATACAGACTGAATTCCAGTACATAAGGGTCTTTACAATCTTCTATGTACTAATATCTCAATACTATCCATTCTGTGGCTGGTCATGGAATTGGCCCAACAAGAGCAGTGAAATTTTTGGAATTAATTACACCCTGATCATTTATATATGAAAATTTTAGAACTTGTTGACTTGAAGGCAAAGTCAAAAATTTAGTTCTGATTAATAAAAAGTTTTACATAAGCTCAGATTTCCAAATAAGAACATTGACTTTAGCGTGTTATGGAAATATGGAGACTTACCATTTTCATAGAGGTTGTGTTTGACAGGTAAGTTTTTTTGTATGAGACTGTGTGGAATTATAAACAAAAGTAAACAATTGATTCTTCCAAATGAACCCAGACCCTGACTAGCTTCACTAATTTTACACTCAGTTTTTATCAAAGTTCTCACACAATTGTGAAATAGATTAAGATATGATAGCAACTAATATTAATGGGGAGCGCAAAAGAGGTACTCACTCTCAGGCATATAGTAACTCCACACAGAATTCCAATATTAAGAATTTCTGACTGAAATGTATTCAAATTATTTATGCTTATATAATGTAAACAGCTATCTTTTCCTCTGAGAATTCTATAAACCACTCCTTCCCATTTCCAAGTCTCCCTCATTTAGGAACTTATCACCCAACCCTTAGATTGTTGTAGGTGTCCTAATTTTTCTACATCTGTACTATTTCTCCTTCTTCTAATCCTCCAAAAGTTCTAAAATAATCTTTCTTACACATTTCTTTTTAGCATTCCTTTAAGCAGAAACTATCAGCTATTGTATTAGACTAAAATACCTCAGCCTGAACCTTAAAACCCTCTAACAACTGGATCTTCCTAGCTCACTAATCTTATTTCATTTCTTTCATCAACTGTCCATTTTCTAATTGCCTGTTGACTTAATTGTGAACAGACAGTTATTCAAGACTGTTTGAGTCTCGTTCACAGTTGTGTTCCTGGTGCCGAGAATGGTGATTTGCGTTGTGTATCAAAGCCTTCAGATCCTTTGTGCTGGCCAGGCTGGCCGGCTGGTACCGGCTGGTTTGCTAAGCCAACGCTTGACCTCCTTTTGTGGGCAGGGACTGTCTTTATTGCTATGATCAACTTCTAAAATGTCTAACAGACTCTGCAGAGAGTCTCATGCTCAGCACAAGTCCACCTTTTCACAGCCTCTCACAGCTCAGCACACACTGACTGCTGCTTTCCCACTGCATTCACCTCCGTGATGGCTAGATTTTATTCTTCGTGGACTGCAGTGGGAGCATGCCTTATGTTCTTCTCCATTTCGTATGGTCCCTAATGTAGACCGAGATAGGATTTTTTTTAAATCGATGTTTCTCAAAGTCTAATCCCAGAGCCCTGCATCAGACAGGGTGCACATTAGATTCACCTGGGTACTTTTTAAAACTATCAATGCCAGGCCTCCACCTCCAGGAGTACTGATTTAATTGTCCCGGGATGGGGCCCCAGCATCAGCAATTTAAAAGTTTTTCCTGCTGATTTTAAAATATAGCCAAAGTTAAGGTCACAGCACTAACGTTTAAGAACCTTTACACTTGCAGATGGATTGATTTCATCAGCCATTTGTTCTGGCCCTTTCAGAGATGAAGAAAGGCTGATTCCTAATGACATACTACTCACACACCTGCAGAAGCTTAAGTGGCCTCTGAGCTTATTATTTTAACTGAATAATCTCAAGTGTATTATCTGTTTCTT